GACACTACCTTGGTCTTGGCTCCTGGATCGTGCATCTGACCACTCTCGCGCGATACGGCGAAGTCCCCCTGTGTAACCTTGAGCGAGAAGACCCGCGCTTCCTCATCGATATCGCCTACGCCAGGCGACTCCAGAACAATAATGTCGTGCTTTGGTGGTCTGCAAGCCCCAGGCCTGATCACGCTGGCCACGAGAAAGATGACATTACAGGACCTCTGGAAACTGTCCAGATGCCCGCGGTCAACAACCCTGGCACGTTCTCCTCGGTCTGCATCGACTTGGAAGTCAGGAACCTGGCCATTAACACCATTCTTACTTCATCTCTGATCAACGAATTGGAAGGGTCCGATTCCATTTCGTTCAACCCCGCCGGTGACGGGAATGCAGCAGGCGACGAAGTCATTTCGTCGGAGGGCACGTTCGCCAACGCCGGTGTTCTGGTACTGCGAGAGATGGTCAAGAGTTGGTGGCAGGAGGCTTGCAAAGGCAGCGCAATGGCGGACGTTATGGTCCAGCATCTCGTCCGTTGGGTCGAGAGCCCCGACTCCTTTCTGTACGACCGCGCTCTGCACTACTATGTGCAGATGATGTCCCGCAAAGCCTTTCAGCAGCTCATGGCCGACTTCCGTCGCGTTGGATCGCAGGTCGTCTTTGCCAATTCCAACCGTCTCCTTTTGCAGACGACCAAGGCCGAGGTGGGCACCGCTTACGCCTACAGCCAGTACGTTATCAAGTCGATCAAGAGCAAACCTCTCTTCCACTTCATCGACCTTGAGATCAAGGAATACTGGGACTATCTGGTCTGGTACGACGAGTTCAATTATGGAGGCAAAGCCTGCCAGGAGGTTGTGGAAGCGGAGCAACAGACTCTCGACACCGTCATGCATTGGCAGATGGCCACCTTCCTCCCCATCCGTTTACAGCCAACGTTCCAAGACTGGGTCATCGAGTTCATCCAGCTCATGCACATCCTCAAGCGGCCTCAGAACGGAGATCTCTCCTCGACGCCGCGTCTCACGCAGCTACCACAAAAGGCTCTCGCCGAAGGCGCTCAGGGGCAGATTATCCTCGGCAAGGCCTTTGAGAAGCCCTTGAAGAAGGAGATAGCCAACCTCATCAACCTTCAGAAGCGCGAGCTCCTCCACCCAGAGCTGGCGGAAGACTACTCCTTCCCGCACTTGCCCGGTTCACATCTCACGCACCTCTCGTCACGTAACGCCGTGCTCGAGCTCGTCAAGGCGCTGATGCAGGTCCTCTCTCTCGACAAGAACATCACGCTCGAGGCGCGCCTGCTGCGCAAGGAGCTGCTCGCCATGTTCGACGTGCGCGAGTTCAGCAAGGAGGGCGCGTTCCAGAACCCGAGCGAGAGCCTGAAGGTCATCCAGCTCAGCTGCGACAGCTGCACGATGGCGCGGGATCTCGACTTCTGCCGTGACGAAGACCTGATGCCGGAGATGGGCCCTGACGGGAAGCGCCTCGGGCCAGAGACGAGGCCGTGGCGGTGCACTTTCTGTGAGGCCGAGTACGACCGCAACGCCATCGAGGAGATGCTGCTGGCGCGGGTGGAGGCGTTCGTGGTAGAGTGGACGACGCAGGACCTCAAATGCGGCAAGTGTGGTGCGCTGCGGATGAATGAGTTCATGGAGCACTGCACGTGCAGCGGCGAGTGGGTGGAGAGCGTCAGGAGGGCGGACATTGTGAGACGGCTGAATGTATTCCGGAACGTGGCCCAGTTTTATGGGTTGAAGATGCTGTTGGAGGTCACAGAGGGGCTGAGGAAGGGGCTTTGACAGATGACAGCGCATGGCACGGCGCATAAGGGATGACATGATATCAATGGAGTTGTGGGACGAGGACTTGATTCTAATAGTAGATGATGAGCATGGCGTATATGAATGACTCCCCCGAATATAAGAACGCAATCACGCATCACCCAACGCCCATCATATATACTCTTGTGGGAAAAGACACGTAGTCCCATTCTGACAACAAGCCTACGACCAATGGAAGTTTCATGGGCAATACCTTATTATTGAGCCTGGCTCGCATCCAGGGCAATACCTTTCTTGATTGGGTTGGTGCATGCAGTGGTTAGACGTCAAATATCCCGCGATTTGTCAGCTGGTTTCCCCTCGGCACTCCACGAGGGGCCGTCATGCTGTGGGCAGCTGAGTGCAGCTTCCGATCAAGGCAATGCTGCAGCAACAACACACTGGGAGACTGTCGAGCTTTTCGAGGTCGTGGTGGTAGGAGTGTCGATTGGCGTGCTGGAGGAGGACGCCGGCAGCGATCTGGATGGCGAGGGTACGTCACTAGAAGAGAAAGAGCTCGTGGAGAGGAGGAGGAGGGGACGACAGACAAAAGGTGTCATAGAGGACACTGAAAAAGAATGGGAAGACAAGGCAGGAGGAGACGGGGCAAAGGAAGACGAAAGGGAAGAAGGAGTAACTAAAGTTTATTCAGAGCTGGAAGCAAGGACAGAATAAGGCTGAGGTGCTGCTTAGATCGGCGGTGCTCGAAGTCTCAATAGACGAAGTGGTAATGACAGACGTTGGAGGCTCCTCCGGGATTGTAACAGAAACCGGCGAAGTAGAGGTTGGTTTAGGGGAAGAGGTGCTAACAGTCAGACTGTTAGCAGGATCAGAGGAGGTAACGGAGAGTGCAAAATTACAAGATGGCACAATTGGAGAGCAGACGTGATCAACAAGAGTACGCATAATGGCAGTATCAACCGCTAGTGCCAGTGGGACCAACAGTCAATACAGGGGGACCGGCGCCTGTCTACGCCTCGGCGATGGTCATATAGTGATCAGTGGAAACACCGGCTAAAGCGGAAGGAACAAAGACGATCTGAGTTCTGCTCCTAACCCGTTGTCTGCGGTGGAAGTGTCACAATCGTGAGTAAACTTTCAGTATCAGGCTCCATCAGAGTAGCATAAGACCCAGCAAAGGAACTCAGTACAGCAGAGATAGGCGTCAATACAAGCCGGTTCCCAACTGGACCAGTCCCTTGCGGTGGTAGAATGATAGTTGTTGTAACTGTGCCTGTCTATGAGCCAGTGATGGCTGTGTAAGGCCCGGTGAAAGTAGAAGAGACACATAGTTCTACTGGCATCCTGACAAACTATCCGGGCAAACCATCACAGCTATTCATTTCTCCACTGTGATGACAAGAGCCATGTGATCGCGTCCAAGAAGATTCAAAAAGCCGACGGTCCCCTTTCCTGGTTGAAAACGGCTAGGACAGTACCTGCATAGCTTCGAAGCTGGGATGAGTCCCCCTCATCAACCGAGGCGCTGTCTGGAATCTAAATTTATATATGAGGGTTGTCAAAACGTTGGTCAATCGCACAGCCCCCAAAGGCCTATTTCAAGATAGGTTCAAAAAGCTTTAAATAGCTGTACTCCCCTGGCCCATTACGTCCCATCCTTCTCTCGACTAGAGTACGTCGGCAAGACACCAACGCCAACTGCAGACTTCCAGATTCTCTTCCCGAATTCCACTTCCTATTGTTCGGAGAACGTTAAGCGCATTTCCTCTCCTTCTCCGAAAACCGTCCCCAACTACAAAACAGCTCTTTGGGGTAACTGGGAATTCAGGAATGGCAGATATGAAACGCATCGTTCTCCCACACAAAGTACGTGTCATACAACACGGTGGACTTGTTGAAGCCATTACGTCTGTCGAAGCATAGGTGTATCATCGCCGTCACTCAGAAGTGAATGGCGAACCGTTGTTTCCTTCTCAGTGTTTTTATACTACTGACTTAAGGCACCCTCTTTATGTTACATTTTGTCATGCTCCCACCTACGACTTTGGATGACTGGCTGTTCTTCGTCAGCCTGGCTTTTGAAGCCTTAGTATTCCATGTGTCACGATGTGACGATGTGATATAAGGCGTTAATTGCTGCCCGCAGTTCACGGCGTCGTTTTTGCGCGACACCATGTCATTCCGCTGGTTTCATGATGGTATCTCTGTGTATCTAGTCGAATTCGCTTGCAAAAGCAAAATTAGGAGACATAATCTTTGACAGCCTCAAAACTGTAAGAGGCCCTGGGCTGGAACTTTTCGCCACCTTATCAGACCGACTTTCAAATTTCAGACTTGCTGATAGGATTCGTCACACCGAAGTAACACACCAGTAGTAACTTCGCGAGAATCTCCCAAGGTCCAGGGAATGAAGAATCTGGAGCAAATACCGTTCAACAGACTTGTCAAGCAAAGCTGGAAAAGGATTCGCAAACAATGTCCCGAACTCGCCATGGTTATTGAGAACTGGTACTAATCAAAGATTATTTTTGAACTCGGTCTAATTTTCCTTCGGCCCTTCAGCATTTCGTTCGTCAGGTGGCCCAGTCCTATGAATGCTCTGCATCTGAGTAGGTGGGTTGGAAAACATATTGTTCTCGGACATAACCTGGGATGAGACAGTGGAAAGCATTTTGTGCATGGTCTGTGGTTTACATCCTCCATCCCGTGTTCCGTATTCTATTCTTATCTATACCATGTTTATTTAGCCCCTGATTCATACAATCCTTCATCCCTTGGTTATTTTTCTTTCTTTTTCTGGTTGATCCGTCGCATAGCAGGTATACGTTATTCTCAAGTCTAGACGGCTTAGCAAGACCGAGCATCTTGGCAAAGTGTTCCATTATCGAACTCACGTTTTGTATAACGCTGTAGCCCAAAGCTTAAGTGTACGTTTCCCGAGTGACAAGAAGGACAAATACAGTAAACACGCACATTTTGTCTGTGCCGTGTAACACAGATGTGCGATTTCTAGATATGCTATGTATATGTTAAGTAGATACAATAAAGTGACCCGCCTAAGGGCGGGAAAAGAATGAAAGATGTGAAGAATATAGGCGGCCTTAGGATGTGTACTTGCTAGCCCAGAATGGTAGATGTATGATATCTTTGCCTTTCAAGTTGAGACGCCAATTTTCCTTCGGCGGTATCTGACACCTTCATTTGAAAAGACCAGCGGACAAGAGCCTCTTATTTGCCTGAGACGGTGTACTTGGACGATCCGGCAGCGCTGCCCCAGCCCTCGGTGGAAATGGTCTGGTAATTCATGTTGCCAAGGTTCATGCCAAGCTTCTGCCAAGCAGCAACGTGGTTGGCAAAGGTGATAGTGCCGCCGTTCGGGCGACCGCTCTTGCGCACAGAAATGTACTGAGTGAAGGTAGTAGTACCCTGGATTGAGGGCTGGTTGACCTGTGTGTGCTTCCAAATATCGTACTCGGATCCGTCGCTCGTAAGTGATCCCATTTTAGTACCCTGAGCAGCACCTTGCCCGTTGCTGTACTCTTGAACATAGTACTCCACCAGTGGGTTGGTAGACCAACCATACAGGGAGACCAGAACAGTGCCGCCAGTAGCTGAGGTTGAGCCGGAGAAGGTCACAGATCTATGCATGTTAGTCAAGGACTCAAGGTGAAACAGCGAGGTCTACAAAATCAGGTGGCAAGGTCTTACCTGGTCTTGGAGCCTGTGCTCCAGCCTTTGCCGACTACGAAATCCTGGGCGCCTGAGAACTGTACAGAGTATCCGTTGCCAGTGGGGCTGAAGTTGACGTTGCCGCTCGTCTTGTAGTTCTGGGTGTAGTCCTGGCGCCGAGCAAGGCTGGTAGAGGAACCCAGCTCGAAGTCAGGAGCGTCGGGGCTAGCAATGGGAGACGCGAAGGCCTGGATGATGACCGAGGCGGCGAGGGCCAACTGAGTGAAAGAGACCATGGTTTCGGTTTAAGCGAGAGAGATCTGAGATGTAGTAGCTTGATGATTCAGTGAAGCTATCAACTGGTGGTGAATTCCAGGTGAGTAGAAACGAGAGAGCAGCTTCAGCTTTTATAACCATCTCACAGCTAACCATCAATGTCAGTTTCCTCCCCGCCCATGACGCATTCTGTTATTTTGATCAGGAGGTTCTACTAATGCCGAATGGTAATCTATCGAAGATCGCGTGAAACATTAACCGACGAATAAGCAAATCACTGGTGTAAGCTTTTGCCAAGTCATGCCCACGTTGTGGCCCTGCTGTATACGCACCGATCTGACCGCCTGCGGTCCAATTCATGGCTTTAACCGGGAGGTTCCACCAATCACCCCACGTCAATCTACCAAAGATCGCCGTGAAACGGTACTAGGAATGAGAAACTCCCGTTAGACAAGCTTTTGCCAAGCTTAGGCACGATGCGAATGACGGTTTCTGTACCCGGCTAAATGCACCTTGATCAAAAGTGAAAATCACTAGATTCAAATAGGCTAGAGTTACAGTATTCCGCAGGCGGTCTCTTTGACGACATCCTAATGTGAGAGCCTATGATGTAACGAAAAATGAATATATCTATTCTGAAACGCAGCTCGGTAAATTTGGGGCTTCTTACACGCGTTCGTCCCTAGCCATTTATTCACTATTAATGAAACGGCTAGTCAGAAACAAAACAGACTAGTTATTAATCCTAGGATGAGACCCTCTAAGCAAACAATTTTCCGTGTTTGCATTTTATCCTTCACAGACCCACAGCAGGGCCTTCGCCATGGGGGACATATCCGGCGTGAGATCCTAGCATCTAGTTGGCGGGTTAATATGGCACATTTCCCGGCAAACTCATGGTGGCTTCTCCACACTTCCCACCATTGATCTCGAGGACGCAGGAGCTATGATTCAAGTTTTGAGAGAAAAGCCGAGTTTAGCCTATCAACAGGCCTCCTGATCAAGCCCTTTGCCCTCGGAATTTGATGCCTCCGTCATGCCCCGCTCGAACCATTATTGTTAATGATGTGTGTGTTATAGACGAGGGATCGCCTGTTACTTGCACCTTGTTCACATTATAGACATGCTACCCGAACCTCTTGGGTGCAAGGATGGAGATCTTAAGTACCGGGTGCTGCGGTAGACAATTTAGGCATCGGATAGGACGGCAGATCCCTCAAGCATCAAGAACAAGGGTAGGCACTACGTAATGAACAGCAGCATCTGCTAAAAATTATGTTAAGTAGTTATCCTATCCAGAATCGACAAATGAGATGATGCCGGATAGAAGCGCCTACTCGAAATGGTATGTGCGTGTGATGAGCCACATCTTGCGGCTACCACAATTGGCACTAGCCACGTGAAGCTATGCCAGCTTCACGACACGCTATAAACCTAGATTGTGGCAAATGACATATTTTTTATCGCATGATAATCAATTATCTGTTGTCCATTTTTGAGGTGTTCAAAACGGGCAATTCTGACGCTCCTAGTGTTTACTGATGTCTGATATAGGGTGAAAACGCCGAAGGACGTGGCAATTTGTATCTGCGGATTGTTTCATCCCTTTTCAAAATACCTGTTCTTGCACTGCCCCACAAAAACAGCACCACCGTGGTATCCAGTAACCACGAACCATGATTAGACATGACAGTTAGGACTCAAGTCCGACAGCCTCGGAAACAAAGGTGATCTTATCGCTACCACATAAGACGTGATTTGAAGAAACCAAGACTAAAATCATGAAGAGATGTCAAGTCGACAGTGTGTATCACATTTCGAACAGACTTCTAAACGGCACCATAGAGCAGATTGTGTTTCTTGTACCACGTGGCTGGCAATAGAGTGTACACACCATGAGTGCGAAGGAGTGATCAGACAAGCTGATATTGTCCCCCCATTGTCAACCCGAGAGTACCGTGCACAATAACAGCAATAAAGCTCAGCAGACAGTGGATTTAGTGATAACACAACTATCTTTAGAGGCAAAAGGGATGGTCTTGGCCCATCCCGACCTGGAGCGCAGCGTAGGAAGCAGGGTGGGTTAGTACCATTCTAACCCTCCCTGGCGGAGCCGTTTTAGAATTAAAAAAAAATCTAAGAAAACTGGATTTGAACCTGCAGCCTTTAGGATATGAGGTTTATCGCTGTTATGGTGCACGGTACTCTCGGGTTGACAGGGGGGGGGGGGGGGGGGGGGGGGGGGGGCAATATCAGCTTGTCTGTAGACTCAGTGGGAAGCTTGCAAGGTAGCTGCTGTTAAGGGAAGGGGAAAAAAGCTAAAACAAACCTTAAATAATGGGAGATTTGCGTTTGACCGACAGCTATCCCAAGTCCAAAAGGCTTAGTTAGAACAGACATTAACATAATTAAGTAATAAGAGGCGCTTGGACATACAATGACACACCTTACTAGCTTGCTTGAATCTTGATTAGTAAGACTATTCGTGCCTCCAATTGAATCCCCGTTGCGTATCTATGGACCCGGGGCGCAAACGTCAATTTAAGAATCAGCCTGGCCCTGAGTAGCGTTGCACGGGCCATCACTCTCAAACTTTATCTAAGAGGCTTCGTGATTAATGCCTTCCGCACAGCCGCCAAGGCACCAAAGTAAGTAGCCTAAGAAGAGCGTGCAGATCAGCGCAGAAGCTAAAGTGGATCTTGGGGTTAGCAGTTAAGACGGAGGCTGAATTTTATAAACGTTCGTTGGATTTACTGCTGCGTACTTCGTAGTCCCACTTCATTAACCGATGGGATTGAAGGAAATTCTGGTCTTCGCATTAAGCAGTCGCGATCCTGTGGAGATATTAAAGATGAGGCAGTGGAGGAGTTGATTCTTCCAGGCAAGTGACGAGTGGTGTTGCAGAGGATATGCACTACGAGATTCTATTTGATTCAGTGATAGTTGCTCAAATAGTTGAAGTATATCAAATGATAGCAAGGCCCTCCTCTAATATCTTGCCATTGTACAATCTTCTTCGCAACTTTGAGTCCAAGTGCTCAATGTCCCGCGGGTCATCTTCCCACTGATCTGCTTCATGCCCCCAACGCATTGCACCATCAGCGTAACAGCTCCCTACCATCGTCGTCCGTCTCACGTTGCCCAAGTTATCGAGCCTCCCGGTTTGATAGGGAAGAAACTCTAGACTACCGGTGTAGCCCCGGAGGATGTACGGCATGAGACCGCCTTCGAGTATGTAAACTTCGTCCCCCATACACATGCTCTCCGGCCCAACACCGACTTGACCTAGTTCGGTAATAAACAAACGGTGACCTGCCGTCATGGTACGCACAGTATCTTCGATCCACCTGATTTCCTCCACTTCGAGGGGCTTCTGTGAATCGAGGTCTTTCGGGGCCGTTTCGGTTTCATCCAGCAAAGATTGCGATCCAGGAGCCCAGACGGACGCCCCCCCGAAAGTCAAAGTCTGTGTCAAAGGATTTGAGTCTAAAGTTTCAGTATTGCCGTTAGGCATGTCTTTATAGCCTCCTTCCTTGAGGGAGCCAAGCTCGTACTTCTCCAGGAGCCAAGATGTGACTCGCCGCCGCTGTTCCGGCTCTAGTGGATGTAAGCAACCCCCGTTTTCATTGGAGACTCGCAGAGAATAACAGAGACAGGTCGCAATAACATCTAAAAACGATTGCCGGTATATTTTCCAAACTTTGTGCATCCCATTGCTTGGTCGAATCTGCACAATGGCCGAGGCAACATTTGAAAGATCGCTTAGGATGACTTCGCTGACAGTCTCTACCAGGCCACATTTGACGCCATTCAGAATCAATGCCTGAGGGTGCTGGTCCTCTGGATCTTGTGAGTTTTTGATGTACCTTGCTAGAGTGGGGAGTAGGTGAACAGGCTTCCAATGTGGGCTGTCCTCTGTTGCTACCAAACGCTTGATATACTGTCGGGGCACGAGCGTTGTACCACTGGATGCAGTTTGATCGACGGAACACTCTGTGAACATGGCACGACTGGCGTTGAAGTGCAGTGGTATCTCTCCATGAAGACGAAAGCGACGCTGATCAAAACCTGGTGCCACGTTGTCTGAAGACCAGTCAGGCACCCAGGAAGGAGTATCCCGGCGAGATTTAGCAAGTAGGTCGAACGTTGCCATCCAAATGAGACCGGTCTGGAGAATGATTTCATAGGTCACTTCCGTGAATAGGCTGCTGCTAGTGTAGGTATCGTAGTTGGCCTTGATGCCGACGTCACTATGTTGAAAAACTCGCTCTTTCTTCAAGTCTTGCGCAAGCTGGAGAAGAGCAAAGACCTTGTCTCTGGGTTCGGATGACTTCCTGCTGCGGAATTTTCTCAGCAGCCACAGCAGTGGACTGGTCGTTGTGATATGTGCTGCGTCCCTGAAGGTGCCTGGGAACCGCATCGTGTCGATGGCGTACAATTTTTCCGCCAGGTAGGACATGACTTGGTTCAACTCCTTGGACCGCAACGAAGATAGCTGCAGGAAGTTCTCGGTTGCGTCGACAATGAAAGTAAATGGCAGTGTGACACGTCCGTACGCAATGGTAAGATTTTTGGCGACGCATGCTTCCTGTATAACCCACATGCGGTTCCACCAGTCACTGGTAGCGAAGAGGCGAATCCTCTCGGCTATTATCAGCTGAATTCGCTGATCCTCGATCGAATGGTTTGTTGTGAGCGAAGTAAAATGATCGTCGAGGAAATTGTCGTTCATGCTCTCAAAGCTGAACGCTACAAAGAAGCTGAAGAGAGAAACAATCTCGTCGTTCTCTGACATCGATCCGGGGGGGAGTTTCTTCCAAATATCGGCCAGGTATTGATAAGCTAAGGCTTCGTCTTTGCGTGTTCCAGAAAAATGAACTGGAGAATCCTGGCCAAGCCTTTTAAAACGACGTGGGTAATCTTTCAGGCTGCGGTCCAAGCCGTCGCCCAAGTAGGCGATCACGTCCGTAGCCCGGCCGAAGATATCGTGCATCGATCCAACCTGACAGCTCTTCTCCACGGCGTTATACTGATTGATACAGATCGAGTCGACCCAGAGAACGACGGGTTCTGCCCGTCGCCGAACCGCGCGCAGGGCTCTATCAAGGTTGAAAGTGATGTAGTGGACCTTGCCACTGACGATGATCTGATTAGAAGCCCTGGTGCTGCCCCAGGCGTAGGATAGGGCAGTGTATTGCCCGGATCTGTCAGCCACGTACATCGTTGCCTCCAGACCTTCCAGCCAGTCGCCGGGATGAAGTTGAAGAAGACGGATTTCAGAGCCTCTGAGCTCTTCGGCATACTGAAAGGCCGACATCACTGGTCAGGTTGTGGGATTGGAGCGTGATGTAAAATCTACAAAAAGCAAGAAGAGTTGAAGAGGATGATATGGCTAATAGGCAGACGTCCGCGTTCGAGAGAAACACTATGTCAGCCTGCAGCTCCGGGCGGTATTGATTGGCGTGCTAGATGCATACGGTAGTCGCAAGCCAACACAAGCTTGGTTAAGCAAGACATGGTCGGAGTACTTAAAGATACTGGAAGACCGGGGTCCTCGCTCAGAAGCGCGCATGCTTCCTTCCGTAGTAGCATTGTAGCTGTATCATAGTTATTACGCACAGCGCCGTAACCACCGAAGCTGCAAACACGCATATTTGATGCTGAATCTGTGTTTGGGTTTAGGTGGGGAGGCTGACAGGGATAGGAAAGTACCCCTCCTCAATTACATAAGCCATATCAGTGGTCCGTGCCCGGGGAACATCACGAAAGGCTGCAATAATTTTTTGGAGCTCCAGAAGCTTCTTGGGCCACGAACAGTACAATTACAGCCTCCCCTCCCGCGACGACACACGAACTCCGATCTGTACGCCGAGCGGATCATTTACAACGTACTCGTTGTTTGAGAATCAGCATTCACAATGTCGTTCGGAGGCCAAACTCCGACCATTATTGTCCTGAAGGAAGGTCCGTTACCCCACCGCCCTCTGTCCCCTTGCCGACCCAGGAACCATTTAACTGACATTTGCCTGTTGCGTAGGAACCGATACTTCCCAGGGCAAAGGTCAGATCATTTCCAACATCAACGCATGCTTGGCTGTACAGGCCACAATCAAGTCTACTCTTGGTCCCTATGGCGGTGACCTCTTGATGGTTGATGCCAACGGCAGGCAAACCATCACCAACGACGGTGCCACGGTTATGAAGGTTGGAAACCCCGTGTGGGTGGTGTTAGAGTATGAAATACTAACGCGCTTCTAGCTTCTTGACATTATTCACCCCGCGGCCCGAATCCTCGTCGATATCGCGAGATCACAAGATGCTGAGGTCGGTGACGGAACAACGTCTGTCGTTGTTCTGGCCGGAGAGATCCTCAAGGAGATCAAGGAACATGTGGAGCAGGGCGTCAGCTCTCAGATTATTATCAAGGGCCTGCGGAGAGCGTCGATGATGGCCGTCAACAAGATCAAGGAGATCGCTATCGATACCAACGAGAGCAACAGAAGAGAGACCCTAGGCAAGCTCGCCGCCACAGCCATGACGAGCAAGCTGATCAAGCGCAACACCGAGTTTTTCACAAAGAGTACGTGGACGTGGATGTTCTTCCATCATAGGGTGTTGCTAATCTTGCGTAGTGGTCGTGGACGCCGTTCTGTCCTTGGACCAGGACGACCTGAACGAGAAGTTGATCGGCGTCAAGAAGATCCCTGGAGGTTCCCTCACCGACTCACTATTCGTCAACGGCGTTGCTTTCAAGAAGACCTTCTCCTACGCAGGATTCGAACAACAACCTAAGTCGTTCGAGAAGCCCAAGATCGTCTGTCTGAACGTTGAGCTGGAGCTAAAGGCCGAAAAGGACAACGCTGAGGTCCGCGTCGAGCAGGTGTCGGACTACCAGGCCGTTGTCGATGCGGAATGGCAGATTATCTACAAGAAGTTAGAGGCGATCCACAGCACCGGTGCCAAGGTCGTGCTCAGCAAGCTGCCCATTGGTGACTTGGCCACTCAGTACTTCGCGGACCGTGACATCTTCTGTGCTGGCCGCGTTGCGTCCGAGGACATGGACCGCGTGGTCCAGGCCACCGGTGCAACTGTCCAGTCGACATGCTCAGATATCCTGGCAGAGCACCTGGGCACCTGCGGCAGCTTCGAGGAGCGCCAGATTGGTGGCGAGCGCTTCAACTTCTTCGAGGGCTGCCCCGAGGCCAAGACCTGCACACTTGTCCTTCGCGGTGGTGCCGAGCAGTTCATCGCCGAGGTCGAGCGCTCTTTGCACGACGCCATCATGATTGTCAAGCGTGCCATCAAGAACCACACAATCGTCGGTGGCGGCGGCGCCGTTGAGATGGAGGTCTCCGCGTACCTCCACAGGTTCGCCGACAAGAACATCCCCCACAAGCAACAAGCCATCATCAAGAGCTTTGCCAAGGCTCTCGAGATTATCCCTCGCCAGCTGTGCGATAACGCCGGCTTCGATGCTACCGATATTCTCAATAAGCTGCGCGTGGAGCACCGCAAGGGCAGCACCTGGGCCGGTGTCGACTTCACCAACGAAGGCGTTGCTGACATGATGGAGCGCTTCGTCTGGGAGCCGGCGCTGGTCAAGATCAACGCCATCCAGGCTGCGACCGAGGCCAGCTGCCTCATCCTCGGCGTCGACGAGACGATCCGCAACGAAGAGAGCCAGCAGCCCCAGGCCCCTGGCCAGCAGCTGCCTCCCGGCGCCGCTCAGCGCGCCCTGAGAGGCAGAGGCCGGGGTATGCCTCGTCGGTAAAAATTGGTTACGACCGGAAAATGAACGGAAAAAGGAATAAAAAAAAGGAATTCGATGAATGGCGTCTGTATGATACCTAGAACTGGCCCCCAGGGGCTTTGGCTTTCCGAAGTCCGAATAGACTGGGTCATTTGTCGCTTGTCACGAAATATGCCAATCTTTGGAAGTATCTCGCCAGCTTTCAGAAACTTTTGCTATTTGAATTGAACCAAAGTCGCAAGCTGAGGAACTGGACTGACTCAATCATGCGCAGCGCAACGGGAGATTCCAAGATTGAAGTCATGCTCCGTCATTGCGTGCATGATTCCCCCTCTTCCTCCCTCATCTTCCAAGTAGAAATGTCGTTCTATTCAACGCCAGCCATATGCAATATGGAGCAAAACATCGCACCACGTCATGGAGGGTACGCCGCACAAGATCATTCCATACCACGACCGATTTGCGCTTAAACGGCGCTGTGTGTATCGCGCGTATTGAAACAGCAGATATCATCTGATATGCTCTCCAAACGATCCTCCCAGTTACCAATCAGGAGGTCTACTGACTCCTTGGCCGGGGCCCTCCTCGGAGCCGCTGGGTCCCCGCATTTATCCCCACTTTTCACCGGTGATGCCCCGGGAAAGACACCGTGCGGTCCGCTGCAGGCCGCTGGCCATTCTGAAGGAGCGGCGCTACATGAAACGGAACAAGGATGAGACGTCGTTGCTGTGGAAGCATTGGGTAAAATAAAACTGCTCTTGTAGACCGTGGACTAGACACAACTCACACCTGCGAGGGGGGGGTTCGAGCTTCATGCCTGGGGTGGGGCAATCACCGCCATGTCGAGATTCGGGAAGCGTCACCGGCAGGTGGAGAATTGAGATGGCAAGAGTTTCGCCAAGAGCTCTTGTTCGACGCACCTCTAGTATCCTTCCTTTCAAAGCATAATGCCCTCCTTCCCCGGCCTCAGTTAGCCAGAAACCTTCCCGAGAAAAGACATGGTGACGCCGTGGTTGACGGAATGGTTCTCTCTGCCTCTGTGTAGCGTAAGTAGTCTACATCTTGTCCCCGATTACGTGACTAGTTAGGCATGCGGGAAATTTTGATAGAACTTGGCGATTTCCCTCCTACTCATCTCAGAGAGCTTCGCAATGATCCGCGCCCCCCTCAACACTTTTGGGTCAATCAACAAGTGTTCCCCGTGGCAAATAGAGGACTGCCGCGTGTGCGATCTCGTTCCCCGTCAACGACACCAATACCATCAAACCCACATCGACGGTCGGCTACCCTGCGTCTCCGGGGGATCCCAGCTTCGCACTGCCGTTGCGAGGGGCCACGGCTGGAACGAGGGGGGGCCCTTCCAATCAACGCCCTAAATGTAAAGGGGGTCTGGCTTCTCTTCCTGTTCCTTCTGCTTCGCCACTTTTGCTGAAGATGTTTTACATTCCTCGGGGTGGGTTCTCGAGGTTACACACGAGGAGACCTCGTGACGATTCTTCTTCGCCCAGGAATGTGATAGGAAGGCGATGAAGAGAGAAGTCACATACGTCGAGGTTGTTAGTCATGCACATCGAGATTCATGGTACTCTGCAGGTTGAAGTCCATTCCAAATTCAATTTTATCGCATCTCTTCTATCGCGTAACCTAGAAGCCAGCCGCGGCAGAGGCATACTCGGTTGCCCTGCGCCAAAATTCGTGCCCATTCCCAACCCATTGATGAATGCCAACCCGCCGCTGATCGCCAATACCCGAAAGCCAATACCGAATTAACCATGAACCGAAACGTTTTCATTTCCCTTGTGGTAGTACATCCGCTCAGCGAACGAGAGCGTCTCGAGTCATCTTCGTCATTATAAGGTCCGGGGCAGTGCTGCGAAAAGACCAAAGGCAAGCACAAGCATAAAGCGTCATAACGTACAAGTTGCCGAAATCAAGAAGCCATGACGTCGTTCAATGCCCATTCGAACGCAACCTTTACGCCGAAAGGAAAAATGAAACCCCCATCCGTGTTATGAGCTACCGAAGAAGACGTCGTCGTTGTGCGTGAACATGTCGACTGCGTCGTCAAATTCCTCGTCAAACTTGCTCATCATGAGCATGCTTGGGTCGCGATCGAACTGGGCCATTCCCTCCTCGGTCGTGAAAGCTTTCATGAGGAGTTCGTCGTCGGCATCGCCCAGACCCAGGCTTGAGATGCTAGTATTACCGACGGGGCCGGCATTGCCTCTCATTCCAGCGAGCAGTGAATCGTCGCTAAAGCCAGTGGTGTTAGGCTCGGCGTCAAAAAACTGATTGGGTGGCGGAGACGAAGACTGGGAAAGTTCCGGCGGTGTGTTATACTCGCTCTTGGCTGGCGACTCGGGTTGCTGGGGCAACGAGGTCGGCGCCTCCATGAGGGCCTCGGGCGATACGTATCCGGAATTGTGGCTCGCGGCCGGAGATGGTTCCAGATGCAATTCACGCAATTCCCTGTGAATCCGGGGGGGCGACGAAGGCATGGGGGCGGATGACACCGTGGTGATTTGAAGGGGCATGTCGTCGATTCCTGGTCGCTCGATGCTCATGCCGCCCATTTCGAAGTGGTCGTCTGACATCATGTTGAAGTCGTTTTCCGGCGAGTTGACCGCGGAGCTGTCAGAGTAGCCAGATTGCGATGAACAGGAAGTGGTGGACTTGTTCTTGGTCCTTGTGCGAGCCGACTTGTTGACGCGCTCGTCCATCTCGGGACGGTGCTTGCGGGGGCGACCGCGCTTGACGACTTTCTTGACGATGCCATCGAATGCTCCAATGCACATGCCGCGCTGGCGATGGCGGGTAAGAGCGTCGTGGCGGGCAAAGCTATTGCCGCATTCGCAGGGGTAGGGCTTGATGCCAGTGTGAATCTTTGCGTGGCGCTTCAGGTCGTGCTGGCGAACGAAGCACTTCTTGCAAGTAGGGCACTGGTATTGTCGGTCGTTGAGATGTGTCTGAACGTGCGACTTGATGTTTTCCTTGCGTCCGAATTTCTTGCCACAGTCCTCGTACACGCAAGTCCACTTGCCGTCGTTGGGATCGGGTCCTGTGATGTACATTGCGATCTCATCGATGGTGACGCCAGTCTCAGTCTTGGTTTCCTCGATGTTGATGCTCGCAATGCTGGCGGCGCTGGCAATACTGGCGAGGGACTGGGTGCGACGATGAGGCGAAGAGCGGCGGGAGTCGTCAAAGGATCTGCTAGGAGAGGAAGAGCCGACGGTCATGTTGGGATGATGGAGATCGGGCCTGGTATCGAATGCGCTGTGAAAGTTCATGAGAGGTGTGTGAGGAGTCGATTGCTGGGACATGTTGCCGGGGATCCGGACATCGTCTGAGAGGCCATCGTAGCCACCCTGGATCTTCATGAACTCATTGTTGAAGTTGTTCATGTTCATGAAATCCGGGGTGGGGACCACGTGGTCGTACAGACCATCAGCCATCTGAGCGGGTTGCTGGGATCCAGGCATGACGTTCTCCTCAGATTGTCTCCGCAGCTCCTCAAAGATGTTTTGGGCGCGCTGGTTCGTCCGTCTGATGGGCTTCAGCGTCTCCTCCATCGACTCGTCGTAGCCCTCGGTGAACCGAACCGGCCTTGCAGACATGGGCTCGTGCTTCACAGCCCTGCCGTGGGGCGTCTCCATCGGGGTAGGGGGGAAGTAGTCTAGTTCGTATAAGCGAGGGGACGGTGGGAATAGCATCAGAACCGACATACTTGTTGCATCCTGGTCAGGTGGCGTCATTGGTCTCTGCATCTCCATGCCCATCGTCTCGAACTTGTTAACCCGGTCCATGATGCCATTGCTGATCCTCCTCGAGGAGCGCCTCGTGCTGGCAGTTTCGTCCTCGGAGATCCAGCCCTGGGGGGTTCCGGGAGTGTCACTAAAGTTCATGAAGGAAGGGGTCGAGAGGGCACTGTCAGAGGCAAAGAGCTCAAAGTCCTTGTTGCCTCCCATGGTACCGGCGTAATCCTGCTGGTTCTTGGCCATCATGTCGTTCATCTGGTTGCCGTACTGGTTGTACTGCACGGGAGATGATTCAAAGCATGAGGGGTTGAAGCGATGGGTGTGGGGTGTGCCATGGGGGGACATAAGGTAAGTTTCATGGTCGCCGGCGGCCATGAACATTTGGTGATGTGGGTGAATTTGCTGTTGTGAGTGTTGTCGAAGGTGTGCTTGCTGGCGGGGGCCCGGGCGTGCTTGGATGCGTTGCTGCTGCGCTTCTCGCAGTACATGCTGCGGTTGTGCTAGTCCTGTGTTAGTAGTCATACTTACCGTAGCAAAGTCTTGCCGTCTTGTGTCTAGGCTGAGGCCTCGGCGGTGGCCGAGGGCTCGTTGACGCTGGACATTTTGAGGCAAGGGCTGGATCTTCACTCCTTCGAATGCCGTCGGTGTCGAATTTTGGCGTCGGTGCGCTCTGTGACGGGCATGAAGCTGGTTGGTTGGGGGTTATTGGACAGCATTGTGTCGCAAGGTCGAGTCCGGAAGGAATTGTCGTCGGTCGGTTATTGTCAAGGGAAACCTATGGGTCCGAAACTGCACCGTGTAAGTTAGCATCGGCGTTGAGTGTGTGCGACAGATCTCGCATCGCATCGAGGGGGCAGCAACAAGGAGCGACTTACCTCACGCAGTGCAAGCAGAGCTGCCGGGCTAAAGGGGGGGAGGGAAGTTGTGCTCAGTCGGGGTCGACTTTGCGGGTTAAACAGACGAAATCTGGTTTGTACGCCCTGAGGCGAGGTGAGAAGTTAAGAGAGCTTCGAGAGCGGGCTCTCTACCTAGGCAAAGGTAAATTTGTCAATGGCAACGGGATCTGTTTGTCAGATGCGCAAGAAGATCCGGAGATTCAGATTCTTGAGCAGCAGCAGCAGCAGTAGTATTTGTGGTTTGTAATTTGTGGCAGAGGGGGGAGAAGTGGTGTAGTAGGTGGTCGCGATGGGCGGGTAGAGGTTGTCTTCCTGCAGTAGTGGATTTAACGGGAGGGGAGGGGAAGAAATTCAAGATTCCACTCTGGAGACAATGGGGGTGGGTAGGAGTAGTAGTAGTAGTAGTAGTAGTAGTAGTAGTAGTAGTAGTTTGTTTCTAATGGTGGTAGGAAATAATAGTACTAAGAGGAGGAAGCGAGGCAGGACGAGGGAGAAGAGTGAGGACAGCGGCGGTAGTCGAATAGACACAGACACGGACCAGGCAACGACGCAAGGGGAGGGACAAGGTGAGGCCTGCGCTGAGAAGAAAAGATGGAGGAGTTCCAAGTGCTGTAACTGAGGAAACCATCTCAATCCAGACGATGCGATGGGTTGGCGCTGGTAACCGGGCTGCTTTGTTGACACGGTCTCCACAGCAACGGGCACCTCGCGTACTTCCCTTTGCGCCAGCAGCCACACGTGGTAGCTCCAACGAACGGTACGTACCTCCAGCGTGCACCTTGACACCTCAACCCACTCCACATCGGCTTTCCCCCCATCCCACCCACGCCTTCCTTCTTTGCTTGTTGTGTGCTTTATTCCTTCCTAGGTAGGTAAGTAGGTAGTAGGAGGTAGGTGCTCTGCTCTGCTCTGCTTCCTCTCCTGCCCTACCCAGGATGCATCCCGTCATTGTGGATTACTGGTCCCGGTCTTCCTTCCATGTCCTTTTAGGACATGTCGTCGTTGGACAAGGACCTCCTCCTGGCCCTGTACCCTGCCGTTCCTGTCGTGGCCGGTTTTGACGTTCATGTTGCCTTGCCCTTGTCGAAATCTTGATGTTTCCCCCCCCCCCCCCTTCTACTTGTTCAATGTCTCTTCTCGTCTTCAGATGCCGAACAATAAACGGCCGATGGATGCATGCATCACCCTTCCAGGGGCCTCGACTTCATCCATGCATGGTCAGAGTTTGGTGCGCCACCTATCGTCCACGTCGGACGTCGATGACACCCAAGGCCGCCAGCCTCGAATGCGCTTACACCGCAACAATGTCGTCGTATCGCAGTCTTCGTCGCCGTTATCTGACCCAGGCGCAGCGCAGGAAGAAAGTGGACACAGGAACGAGCATCCACCCGCCCACATCGAATCAAGAAAAAACACCCCATGTCCTCATACGCGTGTACAGGTAGATGGTATTGTCCTATAGATCCCGTCTCCGTAGTCAGGAACCGAATCAAGGACGTGCTCCCGGTCCATCCATGATCCATCCACCAATTCGATTCGATCAGCGATCGCACAACCCCGGCAACCGGCCTTGTGGAGAACAACCGAGGGAACCATCCAACCGCCTCGCCTCCCTTCAATCCCACGCCGTCGTCTGCTGGTGCCGTCTCTCCTCACCATCGCCGCCAACCACACAGTACCGAAAACGCACCGCAGCTGCCGGCGCGCCTTGGTGCAGCCACACGGTCGAGTCAATGTTTCATCCGCCCTCGCTCGCCTTCCAAGATGCCGTCCCAGTGTTAGACAGCATGTTTCTGAAGAACAAGACCGGATGACAATCGTCATCTCTTTTTATCGTCCGGTCGAACATGCAAAGGTTTACTTTTGTACTCCCATCTTGTTAATTTCCAAGTCACCATCTCCCTGGCCAGAAATGCGGCCAAGCCGTCTGTATACTGCAGCTTACCTTGACGTTTCTTTGAGCCCGGCAACTTGGAAGCCATCCATTCAGAGCACATGCACAGTAAGCGCCTGTACCCTGCACATCGACTTGCCCGAGCCAACTACCGTCATCTTGGACGGCTGATTGACTGGCGGCGGAAATAGAATTTTCCACTAGCAGAGGTGATAACGATGTCGAGAGGTGAAGCTCCAGAGCTTTTAGAGGCACCAAAGGTGGGCTCTTTATCGGCGAGGTCTTGAAGTGCCTTTCAATTTCAGTCACATGGGCTAACTAGCACATATCACCCCACACGAGGCTCCTCGGACTCTGCGGTAGAGAGCTACATTGGATATCAAGGAAGTCCCTTACGATACAAGTGATATACGTCAAAGAGTCTCTTCTTGGCCAGAACCAGAGTGGCGATACGACTGTCAATACCTCGGTTGGCATCATCTGTCAACTTCCGTTCTCGACGGTATCCTGGATCTGGACACCGCTTTTAATAAGCCGACAATCGATACTAGTTGTAGCTTGCCTCCCGCTCTGAAAGTGCTGCAGGAGGCCCCATTGGTCATGCCGGTCGAGGCCATCTTGGTCAAGTCTCGCTTGCCATCATCTCTCGGCATTAGCGCGATGTGAGTGCAGATTTGCGATGCAGCGCAGAAACAAGACTCCGACATGCAGCCGCATCCTTCACCCCTCTACCAGCGTCGGGTTCTCGTCTTGGCGACGACCTTTCCACAGTGCATTCAATTATATAGTATTGCGGTAGGCCTAGTTGCGGATACCTTGGTCGAAGTAGCCATGTGAGCGGGGCCGCAGCATAAAGATTTACAAGCTCTAGCCTCACCATGGTCGACTTGGCCATCAGTGTTACCGTGTATATGTTATAGTGGCATTCCAGGTATACATGATAGGTTCGTTTCTCTCTCCCTTTTGTTGTTCAAGCTTGGGATCTGATCTTGAAAGTTTTTGACATGTAGTCGAGCCCCTCGAGGCTAACACAGTTGTCCCAATTTCATTGTCCTTTCTGGTCGGTGACACATCATGCAGGTTATGCTTTATAATCCTATCGTATGGTAGAACTAGAGCGCTCCGCCAGCATTTATCACTTTCCGTTCCAGAATTACCTTTTTTAGTCCGTCCCACCAGCCCAACAATGGTAGTTCGGATTCAGATGGTCAGATTAAGAAGAGGACGATCAACACATGTGAGTACCATTGCCGTAGTTTCACAATTCACCATCCCACGAAGTCGGGGGAAACGGTGCTCGAGCGAGACAACAAGGGCAATGACGGAGAAACGCATGTCGGTATGTAGGATTACAGAGCCAAGATAGACATGTAAAGTAAGAGAGGTGTCAGGATGAAATAAATCATGATCGGTCGTGTACTGACCTAGACGAAGCCGCCTGAAGGTTGGGTAGGGCAGAACCCAAGCTCTCAGTGAAGAATCTGGTCATTGACTTTACGCCATACTGCTACACGCTTTGCTGGGCTTTGCTGCCTCTATTAGTAGAAGCCTCCAGCATCGAAGTTATGTACATCGAAGTTATGTACATCAATCATCTGCAGGAATAGTGCTTTCGGTCCAATTCACTGGGGCTTGGATTTACTAGGGGCGTATTTCTCTAGCAATTTATTCTCACAAAGCCGATGTGAGGAGATTTCTACCAACACGACTGTAGCAAACGTTACGCGCCGGCAACGTAAACTCAATCGCGGACGCCTTCAAGATCTGAAGTTGTCGTTCCGGCAGCTGTTGTTCAGGTTTGACAGGGCTATGATGGAAGCCGGGCGGGCCGCGCCGCCGCTTCGTGAAGTGACGCCGTGAGCCGGCGAGGCAAGCGACGACGACAGCGAAGCAGAACCGGCGGAGGGATGAGCAAGCCTAAGAGTCAAAGTCAACTGTGGCTACCTATGGCTGGCTTTCTGTAGGCAGCGGAAGGCTACCCTAGGAAATTGGCCAAACACTCTGTGGGCAAGTATATTCTCATGTAGCAGCGGTTGGTTGTCTTGGCAGGTTCGTGGTGCCGAACTTCTCACACCATCATGCTTTCAAGGGGCCGGACGCACTTAGAACCCAAAGTGTTATTTTAAGTGTTCTATAAAATGGCATTGGTAGTAAAACAAATGAAGTGCCGGGCGGTAACCATACATCGCGTAGGGGATATAGCCACTCAGGGACTAGTTAGTGAGTTCCGCTGAAATGAGGGTATCACAGCCAGCCACTCGGGTATTTTTCGTTTCAATGACCAGAGCAGTAGAAAACGTGCGTAAGAACAGACAACGGCAGGGCGGTAGTCAGTGAGTGCATTCGAAGTTGCATGGCTTTCCCTTCCATTGAACCCGCCCCTTGTAAACGGGTCCCTAAGTATGGCAGCGTTTCTACGGCGAGAGTTCTTGCTCAACCGGACATGGGAGGCACGCAGTATGCTGTCCCCTTCTCGTGCCGACTTGAAGCAGGCAACCCTCACTGGGAACGAGGGCGGCTGGAGCACGATTGACAAGAAATGAGATTATGAGAAGGTTTGATTATCGCGACAAGAAAGTGGCGATCTGCAATTGTGGTCATGACGGTCCTAGGGGTGACAGCAGGTAGTTGATATTGGGCAGCACGTAGGCAGGTATTATGAGATGCTGAACAACAGAGCTTCACTGTATAGAACCGTAGGATACGCATAGCGGCGACGGTGGATGAGAGTGACGAACCGTTACAGCAGTATCTCGGACCCGAAGGAGTCCGGGGCCGGGACAGCAAGCACGACAAGTCCGTGTCCATGTATGCGGAAGTTGGTTCCGGGCTTCGGAGTGGTGGTGATGACAAAAATAGGTATAATTTGCAAATAAGACAGGACGTAATGCCTCAGGATACGAGTCAAATCTCGAACCGAGTTTTCTTGCCGCACGAGCGGGGAATTGGTCAAACGATGTTGGCTTGCTTGTCAGGTCCAGTGAGGCTAAGGTGAGGCTAAGGCGAGGCGGAAGGAAGAAAAGAAAAAAAAAGGGAGACGAGCAGACCCGCCATTTCGGGTCGGAGTGGCGGCCCGGACAAAGATGCTCTGCATATTTATGTGTGAGTTTGGGAATGCATATTGGGAATACATATTGGGACGGATAGGGAGGAATGGGAGTGCAGCGGTGTAAGAATAAATCAGTCGACGGTGATTATGGCTTGTTGTAGACGACTTGACTGACTGGGTATGAAGATCGGATGACCTGCACCCCGACTCGACAGGGTCAGGCTGTCTTATTCGAGACCATTATTCACCGCCGGCCGCTGCTGGTTTGGGTTCATGCAAGGGGAGCCGGGGTCCTTTTTTCCCCCCTTCCCAAGCGTGCAGAACGGAGGCACTTGCCTGGACTTTGTTTTGTTTGCTTCACCGAGGGCGGTTTCCGAGGCAATCGTTTTTCTTCTCTTGCGGCAGTCAAGAAACAGGTGCCGGGTACAACACCCATAGAAATTCCAACGGGCGAGTATATCCCTCAGTCTTGACGATGGTGCTCAAACGACCACACGAACGGACACAGGATGAAAACCACACCGAGGATAAAAAGGCGGGACAAGGTCTCTCACAGATCACACGGCCTCGGGGGCTTCAGGGAGCGAGCAAGTGGAGGCCCTGGAGACAAAGAGAAAAGACGATTGGTGAATGGGGCTTGGCGGACTGGAGCGTGGGCGAGATTGAACGCGACAGCGGGTGCCAAGGATGGCCAGTGCATTACATACCCCTGTCCCCTCGACAACCTGTATGTCTTTCTTTTCCCTTCTTTTTTCCATTTATTTATGTTTTTTTGGAAAGAAAAAAAAGTTCGGGGTGCTCATTCCCGTTTCTCTGTTTGCTTACTTCGGCGGTGTTAATTGTACCCTACT